TAAGTGCTTCAAGTCATCCTCATTTTCAGCAAGAAAGTTGTGTCATCTATATATCGCAGGTTTTAATGAGTCTTCCTCCAATCCTGATACCACATTCTTCATATATTCCAGGTTCTCGTACTATTTGCTCAGCATACAGATTGAATAAGTATGGTTAAAGGATATAACACTGACACACTCCCTTCCTGATTTTAAACCATACAGAATCCCCTTGTTTTGTGTGAATGACAGCCTCCTGGTCTATGTACAGGTTCCTCATGAGCATGAGTGTTCTGGAATTCACATTCTTCTTAATGTTATCCATAATTTGTTATGATCTACACAATCAAATGCTTTTGCATAGTCAATAAAGCAAAAAGTAAACATCTTTCTGGTAATTTGTGCTTTCAGCCAAGATCCATCTGACACCAGCAATGATATGCCTCATTCCATGTCTTCTACTGAATCCAGCTTATATTTCTGGAAGTTCTCTGTCAATATACTGCTGTAACCATTTTTGAATTATCTTCAGCAAGATTTTTCTTGTGTGTGATATTGATGATATTGTTCAATAATTTCCACATCCACATTCTGTGGGATCACCTTTCTTTGGAATGGGTACAAATATGGATCTCTTCCAGTCAGTTGGCCAGGAAGCTGTCTTTCAAATCTCTTGGCATAGCCGAGTGAGTGCCTCCAATGTGGCATCCATTTTTTGAAACATTTCAAGGGGTATTCTGTCAATTTATGAAGCCTTGTTCTTTGCCAATTCCTTCAGTGCAGCTTCTACTTCTTCCTTCAATACCATTGGTTCTTGATCATATGCCACCTCCTGAAATAGATGAACATCGACCAGTTCTTTTTGGTACAGTGACTCTGTGTATTCCTTCCATCTTCTTTTGATGTTTCCTGTATCATTCAATATTTTTTCCCATAGAATCTTTGAATAATGCAACTTGAAGCTTGAATATGTTCTTCAGTTCTTTCAGCTTGACAAATGCTCAGTGTGTTCTTTCCTTTTGGTTTTGTAACTCCAGATCTTTTCACATTTCCTAATATTTGACTTTGTCTTCTCAGGCTGCTCTTTGAAATTTTCTGTTCAGCTCTGTTATCTTGTCATTCCTTCCATTTACTTTAACTACTCTCTGTTCCAGAGCAAGTTTCAGAGTCTCTTTTGACATCCATTTTGGTCTATTCTTCCTTTCCTGTCTTTTTAATGACCTTTTGCTTTCTTCATGGATGATGTTCTTGATGTCATACCACAACTCCTCTGGTTTTCAGTCACTGGAATTTAATACATCAAATTTATTCTTTAGGTGAGCTCTAAATTCAGGAGGGATATATTCAAGGTCATATTTTGGCCCTAGTGGACTTGTTTTAATTGTCTTCAGCTTCAAGTTGAACTTGCATATTGATGGTCTGTTCCACAATCAGCTCTTGGCCTTGTTTTGGCTGAAGATGTTGATCTTTTTTCCTGAAGATGTTGCCTCTTTCCACAGATATAGTGGATCTGATTCCTGTGTACTCCATCTGCTTTTGTTGTTGAAAAAAGGTATTTGCAGTAAATAAGTTGTTGGTCTTGTAAAATTCTATCATGAGATCTCCAGCATTATTTCTATCACCAATACCTTATTTTCCAACTACTGGTGATTCCTCTTTGTTTCCAACTTTTGCATTCCAATCATCAGTGATAATCAGCACATCTTGATTGCATTATTTGGTCAATTAATAGACTTGATTGCATTATTTGGTCAGACTGCACAAGTTTGTAAAAATCTTGTTTCCTCATCTTTGACATTGGTGGTTGGTATATATATTTGAATAATAGTAGTATTAACTTGTCTTCCTTGTAGGCATGGATATTATCCTATCACTGATAGCACTGTACTTCAGGATAGATCTTGATACAATTTTTGGGACAATTAATGCCACACCATTCCTCTTCAATTGTCATTCCCAGTGTAGTAGATCATATGGTTATCTGATTCAAAATTACCAAAAAACAGTCCATTTTAGCTTACTAATGCCTAAGATATCATTCCTTATGTGTTCCATCTCATTTTTTACAACTTCCAATTTTTCTAGATTCATACTTTGTACATTGCTTGTTTCAATTATAAATGAATATTTGCAGCCATTTCTTCTCATTTTGAGTCATGCCACATCAGCAAATGGAGGTCCCTAAAGCTTTACTCCATCCCCATCATTAAGGTCAGTTCTACTCTGAGGAGGCAGCTCTTCTCCAGTCATATTTTGAGTGCCTTCTGACCTGAGGGTTTCATCTTCCATTACTATAGCAGACAATATTTTAGGGCTATTCATGAAATTTTCCAGTGATATATCAGTGTTTCACTGCTATTTATAAGGTTTTCACTGGCCAGTTCTTTGAGAAGAGGGTGGCCCTTCCCTTCTTCCAAATCTGTCTTAGTCTGGAAGCTCCACTGAAAACTGTCTCCCATGGGTGACCCTGCTGGTATGTGAAATATTCATGGCATAGCCTCCAGCCTCACAGCAACATGCAAGCCACCACACTACAACAGACAGATGAGTGATGGATGGACTTCTATATTTCTTAGAAATTATAAAATATTTAGAATAGATTGGCAATGAAATCTATACATAACAAACTAAAGGAGCCTCTTTTCTGATGGAGTTGATCTCTGTGGTATACATAGAGATCCATAAAGTTCTGCTGTGCATGGGGTTGCTATGAGTCGGAAACGACTCAACGGCACTTAACAACAACAACAACAAAATTCTTGAGAATGTTATACCACCATAAACACAGTCAGTTTAGACTGAAAGAAACAGAAGGTATGGAATTAAGGAAGCCTGACAGACGTTAAAAATTCTACATTCTACAGGCAAGTAACAGGTTAGTAAAACTAGTCAGCTGCAAACACATGCCATTTATCACAAACAGAAAAAAAAATAAAAGGAGAACCTTTTGAGCCAAGAAAGCAGAGTTATAAACCTAGAGGAAGGAGCCACAATCCAAAAACAATTATTCTCAAACTTTGAAACAAAATAGTTTTACTGGATAGCATATTACTGGGAATGGTGACCCACTTATTTCCTCCATTATCTTTCTTTTTAATGGGAATATTTATAACTGGTATAGTGTACCTGTCTCAACATTTTTACTGATGGGATTTTTTTACTCTGAGTTGATATTGTAATGGGATGAGACTTTGGGGGACCTTGGAAGCAATGAATGTATTTTGCATGGAGACAAACATGTATCTTTAGAGACCTCAAGGTGGACTATGAGAGACAGAGTAACAGTGTCCCAAAGATGTCTACATTTTCATTCATGAAACCTATGGATATATTATTTTACATGACAAAGCAGAATTAAAGTTGAAGATGGAATTAAAGTAACTAGTCAGTTGACTTTAATTTAGATTTTATTTTATGGATAGATATAAATAGATGATAGATAAATAGATAGATAGATAGATAGATAGATAGATAGATAGATAGATAGATGATAGATAGATAGATAAATTACCTGTATGGGCCCAGTGTAATTGTAAGGATCCTTTAAAAAGGAAGAGAACGCTAAAAGAAAAGAGTCAGAAAAAGATATTTGATGACAGGAGCAAGGTTAAAGTGAAGAAAGTTGAGGGCCAGACACACTATTGCTGCATTTGAAGATGGAGGAAGTAGACCACAAGGTAGGGATGCAGATAGCCTCTAGAAGTTGGAAAAGGATAGGACACAAATTTTTCCCCTCAGCCTCCAAAAAAGGAATTTAACTCTGTCAACACTTTGATTTTAGCACAATGAGAGCCATATAAGACTTCTGATTCATAGTTCTTTAAGATTATAAATTATATAATTTATAATTATAAATATATTAATATATTTGAATTAATATATGAGCCACTATATTTTTGGCCATTTTCTACAGCAGCAATAGAAAATCAATACAATAATACTAGAGCAACTTCCATGGAAATCATACAAAAAGATAAACACAAAAACACTAAAATAAATCAAGATACAATCATAAAACAGATAAATATTCAATTCACTTACAGAAAGGTATGAAATAGAAGTAGACTGGGGGGGAGAGAGGAAAGGAACAAAATAAAAATGAAATGGCAAACATAAGCAGTAGTATATCACTAATTGATATAGGTGAAGGGATTTAAAAATAAAGAAAAAAATGATGGACTCAAATCAGTATAACAAGAAAGATTAATGATTAAATAGTTATAAAATCTTAAAGTAGAGAGCTAAAATTTTTTCAAATAAATTTACTAAAAATATCTTAAAATGTGAGAATCCATTTTAAATATTTGTCCCTCAGTAACTAAGGTCAGGGAGCTCTGGTAGCATAGTGTCTAAGGCACTTGACTGCTAACCAGAAGGCTGGCAGTTCAAACCCACCAGCCACTCCTCAGAAGGAAGGTTGGGCAATCTACTTCCGTAGTGATACTGCCTCAGAAACCCAAGGAGGGATCACTATGAGTCGGGTCCAACTTGACGGCACATAACAACAAAAAACAATGTCAGTGCTAGTGACTGGAAACATCTTTCTCACAAGATTCTTCATATAAATAGAATTTAATTTTATATATAAAGCACTTCCAGTTCTTCAGCACTAATAAGTATAATTTTGCTTTTTTTAATATCACCTTCATTTAATGATTTTCTATGGGATTCTCTCTTGTTGTATACTTGACAGTTTTCCTACTTACATAGTTTAATTTTAGTTCCCAAAGGGAGTTAATAGTGTCGGCAGGTGATTTAGGCTTTGTACCATGATATACACTGAAATAACTCTAGCAGGATGACTGATAGGCATACACATTTGGGGTTGGGGAAAAGAGGACCTGATTGGTCTTTGGGAAAATTATACTTGAGTCTTCCTTGAATTTGTCCAACTGGATCTAACAAATATTAAATTTCCTTGAAAATGTATGATAGCATTTCAATGTGTGGAAAGAGCACTTTGGATAAAATCTAAATGAGTATATAACACTAATCATTTGTTGAAAATGTTAACAACTTACTACAGAATGGATTTGTGGCAGCAGTATCCAAAAACACAGTGGTCCTAAGAGATCTTTTTTCCATTCTTCCTTTTAAAATATCTTTCCATAGATTAGCATGATAACCTGAGGTTTGATAAACAGAACATAAGAAATTGAGCTTCCATCAAATTGCATATAAATATTTCAAAAATCAGTAAAGAAATTAATAGATCTATGTGTACTGGTAGTAGTAGCAATAATAGTAATTCATGGATTTTCATAACTTAGAAAGCATTTTTTTTCAAATAATATAATTCAATATAAATTTAGGATTCACAAATAAATACTGCTCTTTGAAAATGCTACCAGAGTTTATCATGTTCCAAATGTATGGAGTCCATTTATAGCAGTTTTCACTATTTATTATATTATAAATTCAGTATTATGATACTTTAGCTCCATGAATATAGTTCCCAATTCTTCCACATATGCATTAATGTTACACACACACACATATATGCATGTGTACATATTACACAGGCAATATATGTAGTATGGTATGCTTATTGGGTCTTCTCAGGTCAATTTCAATTCACAGCAACCTCATGTGACACAGTACAACTGCCCCATAGGGTTTCCTAGGCTGTAATCTTTAAGGAAACAGGTCTCTTAAGTCTTTCTCCCATGGA